GTGGTTAGTGTTAAAAAATGTTAGTGGGGAAATCTATGCTTTTGTAAAAGACTTTCAGACAGAGGCTTTGGAGAGTCCCCCTTCTCCTTTTCCTCTCGACATTCTGGTTTGGATGTTGAACTTTACATGACCGAGTGTAACTCTGTTCTCCAAGGGGAAGTGCCACTAGTGGCTGTCAGCCACTCGAGGTATGTTTGACCCTGCAATTATAACGTTGCTGTATCTACTAAATGTTAATGTTTTACTTTGCAAGGTTATAACTAAAGGGCCACAGTACCCAGACCACTTCCTTGAGATTAAGTTGTATAGGTGCCTTTAAAGTTCCTTTAACCCCTTAAGGACACATGACATGTGTGACATGTCATGATTCCCTTTTATTCCAGAAGTTTGGTCCTTAAGGGGTTAAGGTGGCTGAACTTTCTGTGGATTTCATGAAAAATAAACATAAAAGTATAATAAAAGGCAGAGTGTATCATTAAACAAGAGGCAGATGTATATTATTAATAACAGTGAATAAATTAAAGGCAACCTGAAAATTTCTACCAATTAAGGTCAGTTAACAATATGTTATAAGTTACCTTAGCCTAACCTTCTGCCTCTACATAGATTGCTGGTTTTTGAAAGGCGTATAGTCCAATTACTTCTAAAAAGTGCAAACAATTTTCAAAGGTTTCAAGATAATTGACATTTTGACATAATTCATTGGAATAAAAATTATGTTTTTTGATGGGGTAACAAAGTCAAGAAAAAAAAAAGATTTTTTTGATCTCAGCTTTGCACTCAGTTTGGGTCCAAACACATGTGAGAGATTGTAACAAGGCTTTAATACCAAGCAGAAGATAGGAGGTAAGGTGTGATGCCAACTGGCCCATCTGCGATGCAGTCCTACTTGCTAGCATTCTGGGCTAACAGAACGAAGAATAAAATTGATCAAAGCAGTTATTAAATGTGTGGGTGACTAGGTAATTTTCTGTCTTTCAATAGAAATGTCATCTTGCTGGTGGAATCCGCAATGTATTGACTGAAAGCTACACTTAGCAGAACATCCATCTGCTTCCACCCAGAAGGTCACAGCAGTGGATGCTCGAAATGTGCATGCATCTGAACTTCATCAAATTATGTGCTCCATACTAAGCTGTAAAGGATCCTTGCATTCGTGCAGCGATTATCCTTGCAGCTTCTCCCGAAATCCAACTGAAACGAAGTGATTATAGCTCCCAATCCCCCAAACATGAGTCGAGACTTCATGAAGGGGTAAAACGATCTGATTTACTGTGGGCTACCTGCCCGGTATTTATGCAGGTCTTCCACCTGGTGGACACTCCCCTAGGGGACCAGATGGAAGACTGGGACAAAAGTAACACAGTAGCCAATCACAGTGGCTATAGCATAAGCACTCCCCTTTTACCTAAATCACTCCCTCTTTTCCATCCTGGAGATAATTAACTTAAGGTAGCAAAGAGAGCCTTAATTATCTCCAGGAAGAAAGAAGCATGGCTTTTCTTATTTAGCAAAACAGAGTAAAAATATATAACTTTCTTTTTACACAACATAAACTTTAAGTTCCACATATCCCCAGATAGCTTGGATCTGAGGGCATATTCTAGGCGAATAGCGCTCAGATCCCACGAACACAGTTCTCATAATCGTCGACCGAAGTTTGACTTTACCCGGCCGTTCATGTGTTTGCAGCCAACTGCAAGTTCCATACTATAGCTATCTGGGGTCGGCCACTTTCGCATTTATTGTTATTTCCATGAAATCCAGCTGTAATTCTCCAAATAACCTAACAGGCTTGTTCGTATAGTCTGTAAATAGGGGATTTCGTTACATAAGCAAACAAAAAAAATCAATGCAATGAAAAATTCTACATTCAAAAATAAAATAACAACCCATCCAGCACAAACCTTCACATCAAAGGTCCGCACAGCAAGCAGGTAACATTTTACCCTATCAATGAGGCCATTGTTGGGTGGGATGAGATTTTTCCCGCATGTTGTCGACACCCAAGAAAGTAGCATCTTTGATTTTTTATTTTTATTTGTATTTTATTTGGTTTTGTGCACAAAGTATACACTTTTCCATTATATGTGTTATTATATTATTATATGGGTTAGAACAGGTTCAAATAACATTTCGTTGGGCTACATGCATAATAACAAGCACAATGTCAGAGATCCTTTACCGTGGCCTGGCAACGAAACAATTTGTGCATTTCTATCTTTCTACGGAGATCCCCCTTTAACGAGGTTGCTTAATTACGAGGCTGCTAGTTTTTAACAATCTTCCAGCTTATCCTATATGTGTGGGGTCAGGTATTTAGGGTAATAGCATGGAGTGCTGGGTTAGGTGTAACAGAAATAGTAATTATCTTTCCCAGACCATATAAGCTTATCTATATACATGCAAAACATTATTATAGCGGTTAAATATTGCGTTTCTCATTCTGCTTTCTATGTCCATTGGCTAATATGCCTAATTTTTTGAGGAATGTCTCTGGATCGTCTCCCGAGGTTAGGGTGAGTACGTCGGTGCCCTTTTGTACTGTTAGCGATCCCTCTGTGCCCCATCGGTACCGGACCGATTGTTCTCTCAGTCTCTTAGTGACCGGTGCCAGTAGTCTCCTTGCGGCAAGCACAGCAAACGGGAGGTCACTGTATATGGCCACCTCGCATCCCTCAAATTTTACCGACCCCAATGGTCTGGATCCGGCCATGATGGTAGCTCTCGCAGCTACGTCCCTGGTGGTAGCTATTGTGTCTCTGGGTGCACTCTCGGGTGCCGCTGCTGATTTGCGCACCCTGAAGGCGGACAGAATCAGTGGGGTGTCTGAATTACACCTGAGGCCCATGGAGGAGGTGAGTCTCCGGACAAAGGGCAATAAGTCTTCACCGCTCACCGTTTCAGGGATACCTCTGAGGCGTATGTTGCGGCGGCGGTGTCTGGTTTCCAGTGTCACCACCGCTCCTTGTAGGCGTCGGACCTGCTCCTTAAGATCATCCAGTTGCAGTTTGGTGTCTTGGAGTTGGTGGTCTCTGGAGCTTTCTCTGTTCTCCACCTCCTGGACTCTCTGTTGCAAGACCCCCATTTCAGCACGTGTCTCCTGTAAGTTTGCCTTCCAGACCTGCCTTAGGTCGATCAGCAGCTTTCTGATGTCCCCCTTTGTTGATGGGGAGTCATCCTCCTCTGAGTCAGACCTGGGAGTGGGGCCCGGGAGGGAGGCTTGAGAGTCCCTCTCTTCCTGGGAGTCGTCAGAGGTCTCTATCTCACTCTGCGGTTCCGGCGCCATCTTGGCGGGCCGCGCTTGTGTAGGCCTCTGGAATGCCAGCCTAATGTCGGGTGCCGCGGGTCGCTCCGTGTAGGTTTGCTTTTTATGTTTGCGCCCCATGTTGTCGGCTGTCGGGTGGCAGGTAAGCTGTGCGGTTTTGGAGCTGATTTCTCCTTTTTAAGGCTCTTAGTCTGTGGGGAGCATCTTTGATTTAAGGGTTTGTACTGGAATGATTATTGATTACCTCCAAAAAAAAAAATATTAAGCACAGAAAAGCACCTTGCCACCAAGAAACATAACATTCATGGTTTGACTACTTACGCTAGTTGGGTACCAGGGCCACCCTGGCACAATAACCAATAAACACTAAAATACACTTGGAGTGTTCCTTCAAGGAGAAAACTTGGCATAGATGCTGTCGATGCATAATTAAGAATGTAGGAAGCCACATCAGTTAAGTCAGGTGGATTGTATGGTAAAGGTTTGTCTGTCGTGAGTTCCCAAGCCTTCTAGTCTCGAGTAGTATAAACTATGCAAGAGTATGCCTTCTACTAATTGAGATCTCGCCTGATAAGATGTGAGAGTAAGGCTGTGTAATGTCAGCAGATACGAGCTAAGCTTCTGTGGCAAATTGTTTTATGTGTGTGAAACGTGACTCGAGTCATAGTGCAAATGTTTACAAGCTCAGAGATGCTGTGGACCTGCTTGCGATTCGGCAGGGTAGGATGGTGACCCCTAACCATGCGGGTTGCGGGGAGAAGTATGGACTCATGAGAGCCTGTTGCGCTCCCGCAGTTGATGAGAGACCATACTATAGCATGGGAGCCCACTAGTGGAGAGGCTCCTGCGCCTAACTATGCTGTGCCAAGTGCGGGGATATTTAGAACTCATGGAGAGTGTCTAACAAAAAGCAAGGTAAAACATTTAACCCCTTAAGGACCAAATTTATGTCATGTGTCCTTAAGGGGTTAAACAAAATAGAGTAAAATATTTAATGCTTGCATCAGAAGACAGTTCATGGCGTTGCCCCTCGCCTCTCTGTACCCCTGGGGACGAAGGGTGTTGTTCTCTCTCCCAAGAGTGTGAAGCAGAGGAAGCCACCATTTGCTGGGATCAAGTGGAAATTCCTAGTGCTTGCTGGAATGATTCAGCCTCCTGCAGTGAGGAGAGACTAAGTGTGGTTCCCTCTTTAGTCACCGTTAGAGACCTCGGCAGTGTCCATCAGTAGTCTATGTTAGCTTTGTGCAGTTGGCTTGTTACGGGGCACAAGGACCTGCGCCATAATAGAATGTTCCGTGTTAGATCTTGGTAGAAGGTTAGGTGGGATGATTCAAAGGCAAGTGGGGTCTTTCCCCAGACTGCAGCGAGAAGCCTGATTTTGTTGTTTGAGGAGTGACACCGTACGATGACTTCCGAGAGGCAGCGGATGGTGCTTGTATAGGTTTTCTGATTCTGAAGAAGCACAAATCTTCTCACCTGAGCGTGTGGTAAGAGTGTGGTGGTGAAGCGTCGGAGATAGTGGGGCAGTTTGGTAGAGTCAATAGTGTCAGGGATCCCCCTGATTTTGATGTTGGTGCGTCTGTTGCAGTCTTCTGCCATATCTACTCTTGTAGTGAGGGTGACTGGGTGACTAGGAGGCTTGCAGTCGGTGAACCTTTTTTCTTTAGCCCCTTTACTTTCTGCCTCAGGTCCACCATATTCTCCTCCGAGGCCTGAGTCTTTGCGGTCACCCCTATATTTCGTTCTTGAGCAAGTCAAGATCCATGGCATGCATCTGTCTCATTTCCTTCAGTAGGCCAGTGATGTCTTGCTTAGTGGCTGGGGTTTGCTTGTTCCGACTTGCTAAAGCCACTGTAGTTGGCTGTGCTGTATAGAACTCCGGCAGATCTACAGGAGGCTCTTCCGAGTCGTGTGAGTCCGACTCGCGGTCCGGTGAGGTTGCCATCTTGGGCGCTGTAACAGGGTACCTATGTCTCGGGTGTCTCTGCTGACGCTCGGGTGAGGCCTCGGGGACCTTCATCCCATGTTGTGAGTGTCTGGTGCAGTAGGACCGTTCAGCAGTTGGGTGTCGCTTAGTGTTCCTGCCGTCAGTGCTGTTATTTCTCGCGCGGACTTCACAGTGCAAAACTCGATGTAGGCCCCAGTTATCTGTTGAGTCTTCTTGCCCGCTTGCGGGAACAGAAAAGGCATCAGCGTGTTGCACTTACTCAAGGTGTGCAAAGGTGGGCAGCTACTCTCTTTGATGGCAAATTGGCATAGATTATTCGCCAAGTATCAGGAGCTCTGCAGGATTGCAGGACATTCAGGTCAAGCGCTAGACTCTGCCAATATCAGCCTTTTGTATCATTTACTTGTACAAAAAGCTTACCAAAAAATACATTTACACAATTATCATGAAGATTTAGGCGCTATTTCCAATTTAAAAAATCAGTGATCTCCCTCCCCGGCCCACTGGCAGAGGGGACCCGGGGGAGCTCTTACCTGTAGCTCTGCCGGGTTCTCCTCTTGCGAGCTCAGAGCGGTGACACGGTTACCACAGCAACGGTCCGTTTTTGCGCGAGTGGGCTGCAGTTCACTCTCCCCCCTAAGACCGCCAGGGATGGAAAGCAATATCTCCCCCTCCCAGGCCTCAGGTAGAAAGGGTGGGGGGATATAGAATATATTAATTATAATTAAAAAAAAATACATTAAAAAAAATTTGCTTTGATCTGCCTCCCTCCCCACCACACACACAGAATAACAGTATACACATTCACACATTGCCCCACACACACATATACAGCTCCCCATGCACACATACTGCACCCCTGACATACACCCCCTCACACACACATACTGCACCCCTGACATACACTGCCCCCTCACACACACAAACTGCACCCCATAAACACACTGCCCCACATACACACATACTGCACCCCTGACATACACTGCCCCCTCACACACAAAAACTGCCCCCCATAAACACACTGCCCCATACACACATACTGCACCCCTGACATACACAAACTGCCCCCCACACACACTGTCCCCCCATACACATATACTGCACCCAGGGCCAGATTAAGAGCCCAGTGGGCCTGGTGCTGACAATTATGATGGGCCTAATTACAAAATCTTATTGACCAAAAACACTAAAACAGTCCCACCTCCTAAGTGTCATGTATCTGATGGAGATGGTGCTGGAGGGAAACTCATAGGATGCAGTTATGAGAAAACACATACCCTATGCTAATCTCACACTTTCATCTTTCAAGTAAACCCATACCCCCTAACAGCAGTGTCCAGTAAAGCAGGAAGTCTATGGATGGGGTAAAAGAGTGGGCCACTGACACAAATCACATAACCAGAACTGCCGAAAGGGGCGAACATACACAAAAAGGGGGCATGCCTCCCAGTCCCTTAGTGTCTGTGCCCCATGTCACTAGTAAACTAGGGGACATTGAGAGACATTGGGACACTGAGATACTAGGGAACACTGGGAGACCTGGGGACACTGAGACACTTGAGGACACTGGGAGACTTGGGGACACTGGGTGACTTTGAGACATGAGGGGACACTGGGAGACATGGGTCACTGAGACACTGTAGACTTGATAAAGTCCTGGGTACAGGTCAAAACTTTGCAGTGTCCAATAAACCTGCTTAAATCTATCACAGTGAGTGCCTAAATTTTTTAAATTTTATACTAGGGGACACTGAGACACTTGGGGGCACTGTGACACATGGGGACACTGGGAGACAAGGGGATTCTGAGAGACTAGGGGACACTGAGACACTACGGACATTGAGAGACACCGGGGACACTGGGAGACATGGAGCACTGAGACACTCTGATACATAGGGGACACTGTGATACATAGGTTACACTGGAGACTTGATAAAGACCTGGGTACAGGTCAAAATGTTGCGGTGTCCAATAAACCTGCTTAAATCTATCACAGTGAGTGCCTGAAATTTTTCTTTTATACTAGGGAACACTGAGACACTAGGAGACTTGGGGACACTGGGAGACTAGGAAACACTGAGACACTAGGGACACTGGCACACTATGGACATTGAGAGACACCAGGCACACTGGAAGACATTGGGATATTGAGATACTAGGGACACTGGCTGTGAGACATGGGGACACTGGGAGTGCCCCATGTCTCCCTGTGTCTTTCATTGTCCCCATGTCTCTGTGTCCTCTAGTGTTCCAGTGTCCCCATGTCACCCAGTGTCCCCTAGTGTTTGTATCCCCATGTCACCCAGTGTCCCCTAGTGTTTGTATCCCCATGTCTCCCAGTGACCCTTAGAGTCTATGTCCCCATGTCTCAAATTGTTCTGATGACACTAGGGGACACTTAGAGACATTGGGACACTGAGACACTGGGAGAGACTAGGGGACTCTGGTAGACTAGGGGACTCTGGGAGACTAGGGGACACTGAGAGACAACAGGGACACTGAGAGACACCAGGGACACTGAGACATGAGGCACACTGGCTGGGAGACATGGGGACACTGAGAGACTAGGGGCCACTGGGAGACATGGGGCCACTGTGTCCCTAGTGTCTCAGGGTCCCCATGTTCCCCAGTGTCCCTATGTCTCCCAGTGTCCCAATGTCTCAGCGTCCCCAAGTCTCTCACTGTCCCCATGTCTCGCAGGCTCTGAGCTGCTGTCTGGACTCTCTGTGCATAGCTGCTCCCCCGCGGATCATTGTGTAGAGAGAGGCAGGGAGGGAGATGCTGTAACTTCTTATCCCTGCCTCTCTCCACACAAACAGTGACCCCTACTGGCCGGCGCTGGTATTGCAGAATAATCTCTGTTTATACTGAGACAACAAGTTGTATTGCCAGTATTACTGCAATACTGGCACTGGCTAGGCAGCCTCAAATACCTTAAAAATACTTTTGAGAAATACCTGTCAACCATAAGAAATACATGAGAAATACCTGGCAATCAATGGGCCTATTCCATGGGCCTGGGCCTGGAGCTGCAGCTCCATCAGCCCCTATGTTAATCTGGCCCTGACTGCGCCCCTGACATACACTGCACCCCCATACACACATACTGCACCCCTGACATACACTGCCCCCTCACATATACAAACTGCCCCGATACACACATACTGCATCCCTGACATACACTGCCCCCTCACACACACATATTGCATCCCTGACATACACTGCCCCCTCGCACACACAAACTGTCCCCCCATACACACATACTGTACCCCTCACACACACAAATTGGCCCCCATACACACCCCTCACACAAACACTGTCCCTCATTCACACACAAACTGCCCCCACACACACACACTGCCCTCCATACACACATACTGCACCCCTCACACAAACACTACCTCTCATACACAAAAACTTCCCCCCCACACACAAACACACTGCACCCCTCACACAAACACTTCCTCCCATACACACATTGCCCCACACACATATACTGCACCCGTCACACAAACACTGCCCCTCATACACACAAACTGCCCCCATCACACACACTGCCCCCTTACACACACACACACACACTGCAACACTCAGCAGATCCCAGGTAAGTTGTCAAACTGTTCTTAAACGGTTTGACTACTTACTCTGAGAGAGGTCCAGGCACTCCTGGCACCATAACCACTACACAGAGCTGCAGTGCTATTGTCCCTGAATTATTTCTTTAAATGATCTACAAGTGCCCCTCCCGAGATCAGGCTTTGGAGCCGCCCCTGATTCTGAGAGCTCCCGAGTTCATGGCGCAGAGATGCTGGCCCATTTACAGGCCTGGGACTGGAAAGGCGCTTTACCTTTCCCTGGTTCTGCAGCTGCTTCTGGTATCTTGCGCCTCACAACTGAGGGAATTGGCTGATCATGGATTCCCCATCACATGCAGTCCTTCTGCTTAAACTCAGAGTTCCAATGCAATTTAATAGCAACCATAATTCCTACATGCGCCATTATCTGCCTTGATTTTTGTTGTGTCTTTTTTTGTAATTTTACTTTATTTCCAATCTCAGTTCCACTTTAAGTTCAGTGGTTACTGGACAGAGGTCTCCTCGTTACTCATGCATGGTTAGCTTGTTTTTTCACCTAAGCATGTTTATACATAAACCACCATGTCACGCATTTCTCTCATGTCTAAAGCCATCGCAAATGCTACGCACATTGACATGTTTATCTATCCTGATTTCTTTGCTATGCTATTTTACAAAAAAGAAGGCCGATTTATGCAGGAGTTTAATTGTGTACCAAAATTGTTGTATTTCTGACATGTGTTTATCTGCCATGACTCCTAATCCAATAAAAGAGAGAATGACAAAACAAAATGGCAGATATCATTATAGTAACACTGACATAGTGCTGCTTTCATACAAACACACAGACATTGTGTCAGTTGTCATCTCCACACATTCATATTCATGGACGGGATGGCAAGGGAGGCAGGTAGGCAATTGCCCCCCAAACTAATAGAATACGGAGGTTGTGTTCTGCAACCTCGGAACTATTCTTTTGTTCATTATAAAAACCTCCTGGGTACTATAACAACTACATTGAATTTAAGATGTTATGATACCAGGAGATCCTTAGTGCTTCCTTACCTCGAGGGGGTTATACCATTCAGGAAGAGTGTTTAATAGAAAACAGAGATAGGAACTGAAGTAAAATGTCGGGTTGCTTCTAGGAAATGGGGGGGGGGATATGAAGAAAAAAAGAGAGAATAAACAAAAACAGAGAAACCATAGGGTTAAAATAAGTCAGTCCCAAAGGTTCCCTGTAATTGCAATGCAACCCAAAGGGAAGTGATTAAAAAATAACTTTTAATAAATTCCTTCTAAAAATCAATGCCTAAATGATAGGTGATAGGTAACACACAAATAATAATAAAATAAAAAACGGAGAGAGAGGAGAATAGAGCTTGCGGAGTAACAAGGTGTTAGCAGAGAGAAAGAAAGTTG